GGGAAAAAGGAAGGAAGATGAGGGAGGGAGGGAGGGAGGGAAGGGAGAGGAGGAGAGGAAGGGAAAGGCTTGGATTTGCCCTATGGGTTAAACTAAGCTCTACTGAGTTGGGGTGATTTGCAGTCTAATGGGGAGCCCCACCATCGCCTTAGCCCAGGGCTCTGCGAGGCTTAGCCACTTGAAGACTTGTGGACTTCAACTCCCAGAATTCCCCAGCCAGCAAGGGAATTCTGGGAGTTGGGAGTCCAGAAGTCGTAAAGTGGCCCCATTTGGAAACCTCTTGTCTTAACAGGTTGGGGAAAATCGGAGATTTCATTCAGCCAGGGAAAGGGTTGGTTTCTTGGGCACAAGGCGCTGATCGGTCGTCCTCGGCTTACAACGGCCTGTTGCGTGGCCGTTCGAAGTTACAACGGCGCCGGGGAAAAAAGAGACGACCGCATTGCAAGCGTTCCCACAGCCACATAACCCAAATTCAAGCACCGGGCGTGTGTTTAGCATGTCCTGGGATCGCGGGACCGCCGTCTGAGACCCAAGTGAGCTGCATTCGCTGAACGAGGGCCCGATTCACTTAATAACCGCCGCGATTCGCTTCCCAAAGGGGGCCACAGTTGGGCACGACCCACGTAGAAAACCTCGCTTGATGGCAGAAATTCCGAGTCGCTAAGTGGAGGACGCTCAGAAGATGGAGATCGAGCTGCGTCCTGGTAACCTTGGTGGGGAATCCCACGTCGCACGAATCCCACCTCAATGTTATCTCCGCCTAATTGTTCTGTCCCAGCCTATATGAGTCCTTGTTACGCTCACATGGAGAAACCCCTCTTCCAACACGCAGGCTGGAACCGCAGGGAAAAACCAACCCCCTTTTATTATTCACAGACCTGAGTCCATGTCCAAGGCAAACAAACACACAGTCCACAGACACTCGATTCCTCAACACAAATGGCTGCCTTCGGCCACCAGCACCTCCCACACCTTCCCTTTTATTATGCAGCCCAGGCATGGCTTCCTAATGCCCTCTCCTTTACCTTTGGAGCCGCCCCATTGCATTCCTCTGTCCTACTCGCTTCTCTTGCCTGCGCCTTCGTGCATCCAGGATGTGTCCCAGCTGTTCTTCATCACTGTCCAACTCAGACTCCTGGCACAGCCGTGTCTCAGCCTGAGTGCGAGTAGAGGGGGCGGGCTCCTCGTCTTGGAGCTCCTCAGAGCCTTCCTCCGACTCTGATGTCACTCCAGGCCCCCCCCCTCCTCCTCCTCAGACTCAGCTGCCGGGGTCCATCGGCTGGCGAGGAATCACAACACTAATCCCCCCCTCCCCTAAATGGAAAGGCTAGAATAGGCGCCGTACCAGAGGCCTTCTGGAAAGCTTCGATGGCGCAGTCCACCCCCTGCAGAGTGGTGCGGTCCTGGCGGGCTGCGATCTGGGTGTGCAGAGCGCCGATGTTGAAGAGCACGCTTCCTTTCTCGAACGCCAGGGCCTGCTGGTGGGAAGGCACCCCGGTCAGCGAATCGTACCTGCAAAGGGTTAGAGCAGAGCGGTGAGACCACATGGCGCTGGGGAGACGACAAGGCTCCTGAGTCTCCGATCGGCTTCCAGCTAGATCACCGTTTTAGGGAAAGGGTCCAATAAAAGGGAATGTTTGTAGCTGGGGGTTGAACTGGGAGGGACACTGGTGCTCACTAGATGAGCTGGGTGGTTTTCTGGCAGATGTTTCGTGACCCAGCTAGGGAACACCATCAGTGCTAAAGGAGTTGGGTTTGCAGGGAGGAGGAGGAGGAGAAGGAGGAGGACTATGGTATCCTTGGTGGTTTTCTTGCAGATGTTTCATGACCCAACTAGGTGACATCTTCAGAAGGAATGGGGTTTTTGGAGAGGAGGAGGAGGAGGAGGAGGAGGAGGAGGAAAGGACTGTGGGGTCCTTGGTGCTCTCTGAGCTGGGTGGTTTTCTTGCAGACGTTTCGCAACCCAACTAGGGAACATCATCAGTGCTAGAAGGGAGTGGGGTGTAGGAGGAGGAGGAGGAAGCCTGTGGGATCCTTGCTGCTCTCTGAGCTTGGTGAGTTTTCTTGCAGACGTTTCGCGACCCAACTAGGTAACACTATCAGTGCTGCAAGATGTAAATTCCTCTTCTTTTTAGCACTGATGATGTTCCCTAGTTGTGTCATGAAATGTCTGCAAGGAAACCACCCATCTCAGAGAACACCAAGGACCCCACAGTCCTCATCCACTTCCTCCTCCTTCCTCCAAACTCCCTCCCTTCTAGCGCTGATGATGTTCCCTAGTTGGGTCATGAAACGTCTGCAAGAAAACCAGGAAGCTCAGAGAGCACCCAGGACCCCCAATCTTTTCCTCCTCCTCCTCCTCTCCCAAAACCCCACTCCCTTCTAGCACTGATGATGTTCCCTAATCGGGTCATGAAACGTCTGCAAGGAGACCACCCAGCTCAGAGAGCACCCAGGACCCCACCCCCAGTTCAACCCCGAGCTACAATGATTCTCTTCTATTGATTCTCTACTACACCAGGTTGAAAAGGCCCACTGACCAATGGAAGAAAAGTCCCAGGTTGTTACTGGGCGAGAAGAAGCGGTTGTCGAGGAAGTGGAGCTGGCTGTAATATTCCGTCAGCAGTTCAAGTCCCGCCTTGTTCCGGCTGGGTGCCCGCATGGCCTGTTGGGGACACAAGATGGGAGAAAGCCAAGAGCCATGAACAACACAGAGTTGGAAGGGACCTTGGAGGTCTTCTAGTCCAACCCCCTGCTCAAGCAGGAGACCCCTGCAGAATAACAGAGCTGGAAGGGACCTTGGAGGTCCTCTAGTCCAGCCCCCTGTTCAGGCAGGAGACCCTTACAGAATAACAGAGCTGGAAGGGACCTTGGAGGTCATCTAGTCCAGCCCCCTGCTCAGGCAAGAGACCCTTGCAGAAAAGCAGAGCCAGAAGGGACCTTGGAGGTCTTCTAGTCCAACCCCCTGCTCAAGCAGGAGAGCCTTGCAGAAGAACAGAGTTGGAAGGGACCTTGGAGGTCCTCTAGTCCAACCCCCTGCTCAAGCAGAAAATACAAAATACAGGTAGTCCTCAACGTATGACCCCAATCCAAAATTTATGTCGTTAAGCGAGTTTTGCCCCATTTTATGACTTTTCTGGTGAAGGGAACGGCTGCAGTTGTTAAGTTAGTAAGTAACCTGGTTGTTAAATGAATCTGGCGTCTCCCCCACGGACTTTGCTCGGTCAAAAGGGGATCACGTGACCCCGAAGACACTGCGACCGTCGTAAGTGTGAGTCCCTTGTCATCTGAATGTAAATCACGTGATCCTGGGGAATTCTACGACGTCGTAAGTGTGAAAGTGGTCGTCAATCCCTTTTTTTTTCAGCGCCGTTGTAACTTTGAACGGTCACTAAACGAACCGTGGTTAAGTCGAGGACTACCTGTACACACCCAGGTCAGGCGCCTTTGCCCCCCAACTCCTCTTCCTCGAAGGTCACACCTACCTGGCGTAAATCCACAAGGGCTTTCAGCTCCTCCTTGTAGGAGTCTTCCTCTTCGTTGTAGTGGTCTTTAATCACGGCCTGGAGTTGTGTCGAAAATAACACACTTTAGTCTGTCAGTCGCCTGAAATTCCCACTTTCAAGGTCACCTAAAAGTCCTCCGAAATCAGTCAGTCCTCGGCTTACGACTGCAATGGCGTTTCTGTCGTTAAGCGAGATGTTGGCGAAATGAGTTTTGTCCCATTTTGGCATCTTTCTTGCCACACTTGTTAAGCGAATCGTGGCAGCGGATCACCCCGTTGTTAAGCGAATCTGGCTTTCCCACTGCCGAAAGGTCACAAAAGGGGGAATCACCTGGCCCCAGGACGCTGCAACCGTCATAAACACGAGTCAGTTGCCAAACGTCCCAATTTTGATCCTGGGGAATCTTACAAAAGTCGCAACTGTTAACAACGATCCTAAGTGGCTTTTTTTCCTCCGTGCCGTCGTAACTCTGAATGGTCACTAAATGAAACCATTGTAAGTTGAGGACTCCCTGTACATAACTGATCTAGGAACATTTCACCCACGTCTAAGAGACCTACAGGTCAGTCCCTGGCTTACGACCATCCATTTAGCAATTGTGCCATCTTAGGTTAGTGCTGAAAAATGGCGACTGACAACGCGTCCTCATATTTACGGCCGCGGCAACGTCCCCACGGCCCTGGGATTGAAATTCTGGACAAACGGCATGGATTCGCCACGATGGCAGGGTCCTGGGTTCAAGTGAAGCCACTTACCACCCTGCCAGCCGGCTTCCGATAAACCAAAACAAAAAGCTAGTAACACGGTCGTTAAGTGAAACTGGCTTTCCCCCGTTGATTTTAGCATGTCAAAAGTTCGCAAAACACGACTCCGGGATGCTGCGACTGTCATAAGTATGAGCCAGTTGCAAAGCATCTGAATTTTGATCACGGGACCGGGGCGATGCTGCGACGGTCGTTTTGTGTGAAAAGCGGGTCCTAATTCACTTTTTCCAGTGCCGTCGTAACTTTGAACGGTCACTAAACGAGCCGTTGCAAGTCGGGGGCTACGTGTAAAACAGCTTCCCTCAATTCTATCGATCTCAGTTTTAGGAAATTGGAAGTTACCTTCAGAGGAGATGCCCAGTCCAGTTCCTTGGTCTCCTTCAACCCCAGCGGGATCATTGGGACGCTAACTGAGTCACTGGGAGAGAGAGAGAGAGAGAGAGAGAGAGAGAGAGAGAGAGAGAGAGAGAGAGAGAGACCGTTCAATTACAGGTGGTCCTCAACTTAAAACAGTTCATTTAGTGGCCGTACTAAAAAAAGTGGCTTACAACCGTTTTTCACACGACCGTCACAGCATTCCTAGAGTCACGTGATCAAAATTCAGCCGCTTGGTAACTGACTCATATTTATGACGGTCGCCGCGTCCCCAAGGATCACGTGATCAAAATTCAGCCATTTGGCAACTGACTCATATTTATGACAGTAACAGCGTCCCCGGGGTCACGTGATCAAAATTCAACTGCTTGGCAACTGACTCATATTTACGACGGTCACAGAATCCCCAAGGATCACGTGATCAAAATTCAGCCGCTTGGCCACTGACTCATATTTATGACGGTCGCAGCGTCCCCGGGGTCACGTGATCAAAATTCAACCGCTTGGCAACTGACTCATATTTACGACGGTCACAGAATCCCCGGGGTCATGTGATCAAAATTCAGCCACTTGGCAACTGACTCATATTTATGATGGTCGCCCCGTCCCCAAGGATCACGTGATCAAAATTCAACCGCTGGGCAACGGACTCATATTTATGACGGTCGCAGCGTCCCCAAGGATCACGTGATCAAAATTCAGACTCTGCATGTTCTGACCGAATGTTTTGACACAGCAGAGGGCAATTTCATTTCCCTTTTCCCTGACGATCCACCTCCGGAACTTTCCCTTCCCCAAACGGACAGGTGCCAATCATCTCTAACCTGTCGTTCTGGTAGACTTCCATGCAGCTGTTCAGTTCTTCCAGTTCCTCCTTGAGCAGCTGCAGGTTGGAGTTGACGTAGCTGAGTTCCAGAGCAACCGTCTCCTTGACTTTGTGGTTGCGGGTGGCCCTAGAGACCAAAGGGAAAAAAGGAGAGGGAAAAAATGACTTATACCGCTTCTCTACAGCCGGTCCTCGACTTACGATGGTTCGCTTAGTGACGTTCAAAGTCACAACGGAATGGAAAAAATAGGAAATGTTTTTCAAAGTCGCAGCCTTTGCAACGTTCCCTGTGATCAGAATTCAGACGCTGGGCAACTGACTGGTACTACTACTACTACTACTAATAATAATAATAATAAGAAGAAGAAGAACTGGGTATGTCCAGTTTAACGAAGAGAAGGACGAGTGGGGACAGGATAGCAGTGTTCTAATATCTCATGGGCTGCCCCAAAGAAGAGGGAGTCAAGCTGTTCTCCAAAGCGCCTGAAGGCAGGACAAGAAGCCACGGATGGAAACTCATCAAGGAGAGAAGCAACCTGGAACTAAGGAGAAACTTCCTGACAGTGAGAACAATTAACCAGTGGAACCACCTGCCTCCAGAAGCGGTGAATGCTCCAACACTGGAAGTTTTTAAGAAGAGATTGGACAGCCATTTGTCTGAAATGGTATAGGGTTTCCTGCCTGAGCAGGGGGTTGGACTAGATGACCTCCAAGCTCCCTTCCAACTTTTTACTACTACTACTACTACCATTATTATATAATAGTAATAGTAATAGTAGTAGTAGTAGTAGTAGTAATAATAATAATGATAATAATAATAATAATAATAATAATAATAATAATAATAATAGTAGTAGTAGTAGTAGTAGTAGTAGTAAAGTTGGAGGGGACCCTGGAGGTCATCTAGTCCAACCCCCTGCTCAAGCAGGAAACTCTATACCATTTTGGACAAATGGCTGTCCAGTCTCTTTTTAAAAACTTCCAGTGTTGGAGCATTCACCGCTTCTGGAGGCAAGGAGTTCCACTGGTTAATTGTTCTAACTGTCAGGAAGTTTCTCCTTAGTTCTAGGTTGCTTACGACGGTTTGCAGGGTCCCGGCGTCCTTGCGATCCCCTTTTGCAACCTTCTGACGAGCAAAGCCAGTGGGGGGAGAAGCCAGATTCGCTTAACGACCGTGTGACTCATTTAGCCACTGCGGCGATTCACTTAACAACCGGGGGCAAGTAAAGTCGTAAAACGGGGCGAAACTCACCCAACAAACGTCTCACTTAAGAGCAGAAATCTTGGGCTCCATTTTGTACTGCACCTCTGCACCCCAAGATCACGTGATTTCCCCTTTTTGTGACCACCTGACAGGCAACGTCCGTGGCGAAGCCGGCTTCACTTAACAACGGGGTGGCTAACTTATCCACGGCAGTGATTCACTTAACAACTGAGGCCAGAAAAGGTCGCAAAACGGGGTAAAATTCCGCTGGAGCAATGCCTCGCTTAACAACGGAAAACTGGAGCTCCGGTGCGGTCGTAAGCCGAGGACTCCCTGTATGCGGTTGGAGAGCTCTTGCGTTTTTCTTAATAAGAACCCTACGATGCAATCTGAGTAGGAGAGAGTCACACAGGGAGGCCTCGACTTACGATGGTTCATTTAGTGACCACCCCAATACAACAGCAGTGAAAAAAGTATATATATGAGAAGAGAGCCGGAAAGGACCTTGGAGGTCATCTAGTCCAGCCCCCTGCTCAAGCAGCAGAACCTATACCATTTCAGACAAGTGTCTGTCTAGTCTTGTCTTAAAAATCTCCAGTGATGGAGCGCCCACGATTTCTGGTGGCAAGCTGTTCCACTGGTTAATTGTCCTCACTGTTAGGAAGTTTCTCCTTAATTCCAGGTTGCTTCTCTCTTTGGTCAGTTTCCAACCATTGATTCTTGTCCTGCTCTCTGGTGCTTTGGAGAATAACGTGACCCCCTCTTTTTTGTGATAGCCCCTCAAATATTGGAACGCTGCTATCATGTCTCCCCTATTTCTTCTTTTCTTTAAACCAGCCAAACCCAAGTCCCGTAGCCGTTCCTTGTATATTTTAGTCTCCAGGCTTTTGGACATCTTAGTTGCTCTTCTCTGCACGTTTCCCAAAGTCTCACCATCTTTTTTGCCATGTGCAAAAATGTGATGTGATTTTTTTTTGTAGTGCAAGGACTTATAAAAGTCTCCTTGTACCACAACGGTTGTAAGGATGCTCTCCACGGTCCTGGGTTCCAAATTACGGTGCTTGGCCACTGGCATCATATCCAGCATCCCAGGGTCACGTGATTCCCCATCGGCAACTTTCCCACCTGGCTTCTGATAAGGAAAATCAATGGGGGAAGCTGGGTTGGCTAAAAGACCGTGTGATCCGCTTTAACCAGTGGAACAACCTGCCTCCAGAAGCATATAAGCATATAAGGAATGGTTGCTGGAATTGTGTATGTCTAGTTTAATGAAGAGAAGGACGAGGGGGGACATGATAGCAGTGTTCCAATATCTCAGGGGCTGCCCCAAAGAAGAGGCGGTCAAGCTATTCTCCAAAGCGCCTGAAGGCAGGACGAGAAGCAACGGATGGAAACTAATCAAGGAGAGAAGCAACCTGGAACTAAGGAGAAACTTCCTGACAGTTAGAACAATTAACCAGTGGAACAACCTGCCTCCAGAAGCGGTGAATGCTCCAACACTGGAAGAAAAGACTGGACAGCCATTTGTCTGAAATGGTGTAGGGTTCCTGCCTGAGCAGGGGATTGGACTCGATGACCTCCAAGGTCCCTTCCAACTTTATCATTATTATTATTATTATTAACAACCGCCGAGATTCCGTCTTTCCAATTCTAGACCAATGAACTACTTGCATTCCCCCCCCCCACTCTCTACTCCCTGGCAGCTTTTAACGGCTCATTAAATTAAGGGTGAGACCTCCTCCTCTAGCACCAGGGATGTGTCCCACCTGATACAATCTCAGCAATCTTGTTTGGACAGCTGTTGGGCTGGGAAACTGACATGCCCCAACACAGGAGCGTCACAGCCCCGGTGTGTCACACGAAGGGGGGGCACCCTGGAAACTGCCATTTGCAAGGCTCGGCGTTTCCGTTCAGGCTGAGCCAAAAAAAATCTGATTAAAGGCCAGGAGACTAAAACATATGAAGAACAGTTGTAGGATTTGGGTATGGCCAGTCTAGAGAAAAGAAGGACCGGGGTGGGGGGGTGGGGGGACAGGATAGCAGTCTTCCAGGATCTGAGGAGGGGGTCAAGCTATTCTCCAAAGCCCCTGAAGGCAGGACAAGAAACAATGGTTGGAAACTGACCAAGGAGAGAAGCAACCTGGATTTAAGGGGAAACTTCCTAACAGTGAGGACAATTCACCAGTGGAACAGCTTGCCACCAGACGTTGTGGGTGCTCCAACACTGGAGGCTTTTAAGAAGAGACTGGACAGCCATTTGTTCTGAACTGGAATAGGGTCTCTTTCTTGAGCAGGGGGTTGGACTAGAAGATCTCCAAGGTCCCTTCCAGCTCTATTCTGATGGATGGGTGGATTGTGACGGAGATAAAAACACTGTTGACAGGTTACAAAATTATGGCCGGAGGTCCAAGAAGGGAACTTTACTTTCTCCTTGGTTGCCATCCCAAACTTTGTTAATAATAATAATAATAATAATAATAATAATAATAATAATAATAATAATAATAATAATAATAATAAAGTTGGAAGGGACCTTGGAAGTCATCTAGTCCAACCCCCTGCTCAGGCAGGAAACCCAATACCATTTCAGACAAATGGTTGTCCAGTCTCTTCTTAAAAACTTCCAGTGTTGGAACATTCACCGCTTCTGGAGGCAGGTTGTTCCACTGGTTAATTGTTCTAACTGTCAGGAAGTTTCTCCTTAGTTCCAGGTTGCTTCTCTCCTTGATTAGTTTCAATTCATTGCTTCTTGTCCTGCCTTCAGGCGCTTTGGAGAATAGCTTGACTCCCTCTTCTTTGGGGCAGCCCCTGAGATATTGGAACACTGCTATCATGTCCCCCCTCGTCCTTCTCTTCGTTGACATACCCAATTCCAGCAACCGTTCCTTATATGTTGTATCCCCCAGTCCCCTAATCATCTTTGTTGCTCTTCTCTGTACTCTTTCTAGAGTCTCAACATCTTTTTTACATCGTGGTGACCAAAACTGGATGCAGTATTCCAAGTGTGGCCTTACCAAGGCCTTGTAAAGTGGTATTAACACTTCACCTGATCTTGATTCTATCCCTCTGTTAATGCAGCCTATCACTGTGTTGGCTTTTTTGGCAGCTGCAGCACACGGCTGGCTCCTATTTAACTGTCAGAAATTGCACTGGTTGAGAATTTAGCACAATGGCAACGAATCTTGAAAAAGCTTTCAATGAAGACATTGATATAAACGGGGTGGGTTTTTTTTAAGTGCATAGACCTCTCCAAAATGGACATTTTGAATGTTTTAAACCAACATCTCCCTCCTTTGGACTAGGTGGGTGTGAAGGCAGTTGTGCGCATTGCTGTGAATCTACAAATGTTTTTCTTTCCTCCCTTTTCTTAGTTTCTGAACACCAAGCAGCCACAAAATGCTGAGCATCAGACAGAAAAGAGGGTGTGGGGGGGTCCCCAGCCGGCCCTTTAATTAAAACGTTGCATACCACCTGCCCCAAAGTTGCAGTTTTTGGTTTTTCACTCTTCAAGCAAGCAAAACAATCCTTGTTTACCTCTTCTAGTGACTTGTCTTATTGCTGCGAATGGCATGATTCACAATCGCCTTTATGATGCTAATTTAGCCCACACAAACCTGAACAGATTCTCTGCGCCGGTTCTCATCCTCATCTCTTTGTTGATCTGCTGGTTGATTCTTGCACGGCGGTGTTGCAGCCTGGTGCGTTGCGTCTGGGCCAAGGAATCACAACCCTGCCAAAAAAGAAATTAATAACAATAATAATAACAATGTCCCTGAAGGAGAGATAGATACAAAGCTAACATGGTTGAGATCAGGGGCGCTGAAGAAAGAAACTGAAGGCTTCGTTTTGGCTGCCCAAGAGCAAGCAGACCTGCAGGAAAGGTAGATACAAAGCTAATGTGGAGATGGTTGAGATCGGGGGTGCTGAAGAAAGAAACTGAAGGCTTCATTTTGGCTGCCCAAGAACAAGCAGACCTGCAGACCAATTCCATGAAAGCAAAAATTCAAAATGTCAGCAACAACAGCAACTGTCACTTACACGATGAGAAATCTGAAACAGGGGATCACTTTATCAGTGGCTGCAGCCAAAAAAATCTCACAAACCGGTTATCTACAACGTCATGATCAAGTTGCCCAAATCATAGCTCGCTTTGCTGCTGCAACTATTGCTTCTTAGCTTGCCAATGAATTTGGGGGGGGGGGGAGGATGGGGAATTGGAACGCAGGCTACAAAGATAAAGAAGGCAGACCGTGAGAATCAAGGACGATTCACCAGATGCCTGACCCGACTCAGAGACATCTTCTCATAACAATATAATCGCACCGCATTGGGCAATGTGATTTGTTTGTGGATGGGAGGGGAAATTCTATTCTTTTACTATATGGGGTTGGGGTTTGGGGTTTGCTAGAACTGGTTTTGCTTTCATACATGCCAAAGTGATGTATTCAATAAAGTTTTATATTAAGAGATTGGAATGTCTCAAAGGTGTTTGCTTGGTTGGGTTCGTCGGTCGGAACCTTGACAGATGTTGTTATTGAGACTCTAGAAAGAATGCAGAGAAGAGCAACAAAGATGATCAGGGGACTGGAGGCTGAAACATATAAGGAACGGTTGCTGGAATTGGGAATGTCTAGTCTAATGAAGAGAAGGACAAGGGGGGACAGGATAGCAGCCGTCCAATATTTGAGGGGCTGCCCCAAAGATGAGGGAGTGAAGCTATTCTCCAAAGTGCCTGAAGGCAGGACAAGAAGCAACGGATGGAAACTGATCAAGGAGAGAAGCAACCTGGAACTAAGGAGAAACTTCCTGACAGTGAGAACAATTAACCAGTGGAACCACCTGCCTCCAGAAGCGGTGAATGCTCCAACACTGGAAGCTTTTAAGAAGAGACTGGACAGCCATTTGTCCGAAATGGTGTAGGGTTTCCTGCCTGAGCAGGGGGTTGGACTAGATGACGTCCAACGTCTCTTCCAACTTTATTATTATCATTATATTATTATGATGATGATTATTATTATGATTATTATGATGATTATTATTATTATTATTATTATTATTCATTAGACATGAACCTCAATCAAGTGAACATTCAAATTATTATTATTATTATTATTATTATTATTATTATTATTATTATTATTATTATTATTATTACTATTATTACATACATTGGAAACTTTGTCAGAAGTTTGGGTTCAAATGCAGCCAAAATGAACAGGAACATCAAATGGACGAAAATTCTTGAAAATGAACAGGTCAAGATCCTGTGGGACTTTCGGATCCAAACAGAAAGAGGTCTGGCCCACAACGTGCCTGAGATCACAACTGTGGAAAAGTGGGAAAAAGTCTACAGTACCCAAAGGGCTGCCTAGATACGTGGATATTTTGAACTGGTTAAATCTGAATATCCTGACTTTGCTCAGATGCTACCTTAACAGCTCTTAAGTAAAAACTGTTGTTTTTACCAGTCCCAGACTGTGAATTGAACTGACGATTAAATGTTTAATAATAATAATAATAATAATAATAATAATAATAATAATAATAATAAAGGCATAAATGAGGGTTGTTTTTTTTTAAGCAGGTGAAATATTGGACTTATTTGCATATCTTACCAGCTGGATCTTCCAAGCACAAATTAAATTAAGAGCATGGGTAATATTTACCTGGCAGCTTCCAGAGTTGTGTTAAGTGGTTCACACATACATTACGCTATTATTGCATCGCTGTTCATACAGCAGATGAAAAAAAAATGTATTTATTTATGCAGCGATCTTGCTAGGATGAATTGACTTTGCAAGACTGATTTTACATTTGGGAGCAAGATGCGAGGTCCTCTCCACCTTCACGATATTTTCTTATACATTTCCTTAAAATGTCAATGTTAGCTTGCTCTCAGAGTTTTGCAAACGGAACCAAGTGTTGGGTTTCCCGCTTAATTTCTAGACCATTCATTCATATCTGACGGAAGTGGGGGAAAAAAAACACCTAAAAATAAACACCTACTTCAAATCAAAATTGAAGCTTTCTGTTGAAGTATTTCCATTAATAATTATCTATAATATAATATAAATAACGATGAAGAACAGCTGCAAAAATTGGGTATGGCCAGTCTAGAGAAAAGAAGGACTAGGGGGGACATGATAGCAGTCTTCCAATATTTGAGGGGCTGCCCCAAAGAAGAGGGGGGTCACATTATTCTCCAAAGCACCAGAAGGCAAGAAAAGAAACAATGGATGGAGAGTCATCAAGGAGAGAAGCAACTGGGAATTAAGGAGAAACTTCCTGACAGTGAGGACAATTAACCAGTGGAACAGCTTGTCACTAGAAGTTGTGGATGCTTCATCACTGGAGGTTTTTGAGAAGAGGCTGGACAGTCACTTGTCTGGGATGGTATAGGTTCTCCTGCTTGAGCAGGGGGCTGGACTAGAAGACCTCCAAGGTCCCTTCCAGTTCTATTCTATTCTATTCTATTCTATTCTGTAATTCTATTCTAGTCTATTCCATTCCATTCCATTTTCTATTCCATATTCTATTCTATTCTATTCTATTCCATTTCATATTCTATTCTATTCTATTCTATTCTATTCTATTCTATTCTATTCTATTCTATTCTGTAATTCTATTCTATTCTATTCTATTCTTTCTATTCTATTCTATTCTATTCTATTCTATTCTATTCTATTCTGTAATTCTATTCTAGTCTATTCTAGTCTGTAATTCTATTCTATTCCATTCCATTCCATTTTCTATTCCATATTCTATTCTATTCTATTCCATTTCATATTCTATTCTATTCTAGTCTGTAATTCTATTCTATTCTATTCTATTCTATTCTATTCTATTCTATTCTATTCTAGTCTAGTCTAGTCTAGTCTGTAATTCTATTCTATTCTATTCTATTCTATTCTATTCTATTCTATTCTATTCTAATTCTAATTCTATTTAAACCTGATTTACTTGAAAGTAACTCAACCAAACATTTCCCCAATAAAATGTGCAGAAAAAGTTCAAAACTATTTTTATGTAACTGAAATCCTTGACTTACAAACTTACTTGTTTAATGACCATTCAAAGCTACGACAGCACTGAAAAAATGACTTACGACTGCTCTTCGCACTTACGACCATTGCATCACCCCTGTGGTCAGCTGATTAAAATTCGGATGCTTGGCAACCGCTCCTATTTACGACAGTCGCCGTGTCCCGGGGGGGGGGAATCACGCGATCCCCTTTTGCGACCTTCTGACAAGCCAAGTCAAGGGGGGAGACCGGAGTCCCTTAACGACCTCACGGTTCACTTAAAAGGCCGGTGGCCAGAAAGGTCGTAAAACGGGGCAAAAATCATTTAACAACCATCTTGCCTAGCAAAATGGAAATTTGGGGCTCAACTGAGGTCGTAGGTTGAGGACTTTCTGTAAAACGGGGCACCCAGGGGAAAAAAGAGAGTTCAAAATGGCTCCCAAGTATCGGATAAAAGGGTTTCCTGCCTGAACAGGGGGTTGGACTAGATGACCTCCAAGGTACCCTCCAACACTATTATTATTATTATTATTATTATTATTATTATTATTATTATTATTATTATTATTATTATTATTATTATTATTATTATTATTATTGTAAAGTTGGAAAGGATCTTGGAGGTCATCTAGTCCAACCCCCTGCTTATTATTATTATTGATCATCTTACAGTCAGCCAGATGTTCAGACTGGATTTGGCATTTTGTCTACCTATCGAGTCCTTCCCAAGGACCTGGGATAGGCAGATGTGGATGTTTGATGGTATTACAGATCTCGTCGCAGGATGGAAGCAGTTCCTAGTAAGGCCGCCTTTTGCAATTGACTAAAGGCGAATTTGTCAATGCCGATGATGGTGTTCAAGTGGTGCTCCAGTTGTTTTGGGATTGTACTACCCTTGCTTGCTTTTGCCACAGTCTTTCTATTTCTATTTGTAGGTCTTTGTATTTTATCTTCTCCAGTTCTTTCTCATCTATTCTGCTGTCTCCAGGCACTGCCACGTCCACTATCCAGACTTTTTTGTCTTTCTTATTGACAATTGTTAAGCCCGGGGTGTTATGTTGCAGGTGCTTGTCTGTTTGAATTCTGAAGTCCCAGAGCAGTTTAATTTGATCATTTTCTATGACTTTCTCTATTTTATGATCCCACCAGTTCTTGCTTACAGGCAAATGATATTTCTTGCAGATCTTCCAATGCACCATTGTTGCTACTTTGTCATGCCGCTGCTTGTAGTCAGTCTGTGCGATCTTCTTGCAGCAGCTTACCAGGTGGTCCACTGTTTCTGCAGCTTCTTTGCAGAGGCGGCACTTATTGTCTATTGCTGTCTTCTCAATTTTGACTTTGTATGCATTTGCCCTTAAGGCTTGGTCTTGTGCAGCCAGAATTAGTCCCTCGGTCTATGATGATGATGATGATGATCGCACAGTCAGCCAGATGTTCAGACTGGATTTGGCATTTTGTCTACCTATCGAATCCTTCCCAAGGACCTGGGATAGGCAGATGTGGATGTTTGATGGTGTTACAGATCTAGTCGCAGGATGGAAGCAGTTCCTAGTAAGGCTGCCTTTTGCAATTGACTAATGGCGAATTTGTCAATGCCGATGGTGTTCAAGTGGTGCTCCAGTTGTTTTGGGATTATTATTATTATTATTTATTATTATCATTGTCATCATCATCATCATTATTATCATTAAAAGCAAAGTGAGGAGCG